ATTAATTGAAGGAGCTATGCGACAACACAACTCGTACACGACAGCTGGGCATGGCCATGCCACGCCCACTAGCGCGGCAAACTAGCAGTGCCCCACGATCGAACCGCCACACACCCCTGTCCATCACCATCGCGCTCGCATCTGTTTCCGCACCACGCCTTTTCATGCGCCGTGACAAGGACTGTACTTGGTACGTAGTGAAGATTTAATACCATATTCAAAGGTAGTTATATATCTCAAAATTTTTACTTTCTTCGACAAAACAGTAATAGTGTTACAGGAAAAAATAGCAGTCAATACACAGCAAAAATACAAGGATAACAAAATTAGACACCAAATTACAGTCGTAGACATACACGTACAATAAACTGTTCCATGATAAAAGCAATATTCCTGCCTCGATCCATTATGTCATGAATACCTTTAGAGGGAAGTGATCCTGAGCAGTAGGTAGTAGCTAAACAGTAATAATAACCCTCTGTCATGGATTTGGTTATAACAAACTAGGATAAGCCACGTACCGGTAAAGTGTTATGAATGATAGAAATATTCGGCGAGGTATTGCAGGATGAACTGGTCAGTCCTTGTTGAGCAAATAGATGTTGCGGTGTAAGAATACGTGAAAATACCGTATCACCACATGGTATACTTTGATAGGTTGCCTTGTCGGAAATCAGCCACGGCTCTCTTAAAGAAAGATATTTTGATTTTGTGAAATTGTCAATTTGGGGAAGAGCACATCAATGACGCGGGCTGTCGCGGCGCGGCTGCACAATGAATCAAACAATGAGCCGCCTGCCAAACAGTCTGCGCGGAGATGTAGAAAGAGCTGACCGTACACGAACTGTTCTTTCCAGCTCACTCCCCCCCCCCTCTCAACGTTCCTTCACTAACACGATATTTGTATGGCACAATGAAAAATCTTACCTAATGACTGGGTCCTTGTGTTTTTGATTTCCCTCGCACAGACCGAAGAGTTCGCCCAACTCTGAGATATCAGAAATGCTCTGACTAATCGACATAAGAGAAGGAATGACCAGAAGAAGAGATGAGACCCTGAAAGAGCCCTCTTGAATTGAGTCGGATTACAGTTACTTTTCAAATGTTTAAAGCACATTTCGCGATTGGAGGTAGTGGCGTTCCAGTAAGAAACGAGAAAATCAGTAAAGGAATACTGAGCGCTCTGGAAATGAACACCTTGAAGAAGAATCCCCTTAACTCCGCGCATTACAGGGGTGTACGCCAAAGGCTGTTCATGTTCAGATGAGTACTCTGTTATCGATGCCTTAAAGGCAGTGGACATTATCGCTGAGGACGAGCGGTTGTCGCTGACGTCATTTGAGGATGGGCAGAGTGGGTGTGGTCAAATGCACCCTCGCAGCCCTTCCACCAATGACACCGGCAACCACCGTCCGCCTCCACCAAACGTGCCCACTGAAGATGACACTCCTTCCCCTATGGCGTCACTTTATCCATGTGGTCCTTATAATCTCCTTCCCACCGTGTTTAATCACAAGCTATTGAAAACAATCCCCAGCCCCCTCAAGCAAACCAAAGTCATGTCCCGAATCTTAAGGCCTGCTCACGTACATGTCTTGGGGATAGCAAATACGGAGGGTTCCATGCTGCTGACTGAATTACAAGTTTAGAAAACAAGCGGGATACAGTATCCCAAGTTGTGCGTGAAATCGAGCGCGTAGGAGCACCACGTGCACACAGTACTCCTCAGTCGTGGCCTGGCTACAAGTGGAGAGCAGAATCATTACCTCGTCCCGCATCATCCTTGACTTTCCAGCATACGGTACCCCAACTGTGCGATCCCCGGGCGAACACATCCCATTTCGCGCCCCTTTTTAGGAGGTACTGTATCCTGCCTGCCTGTTCTCCTGAGCTTACAATGGTTGTATGCTGCTACGTACTTGTCATCAAGGTATAATACACTCCAGTAGACTTTCCGCAAGGACTGGCATACTGAGGCATCGCGCATTGTCTCTAAGAAACTCATTCTCACCGTAATGACGCATCAATAACTGAGTATGACTGGTTGAGGTAGCTGTAGAGGGCTTTGAGGAGTGCATCTCTTGCTTCACGAATCATATCTCGGGCTTGTGATGATAGGCCGACCACATCAGGGTTAAGCAGAAGCAGAGCCTGAAAGTGCTATTGACTTCAGTGGGGATGGGGACATGAGAAAGGATCTCACCTTAAGACAACTGATTCCGGCTGATCAGCCGCGTTAGCTCCGCCGAGTGGGGTAAGCAATTCTTCGAAATACACGTAGAGAGTAGCCGTCACCACGCATGGTGCATGACCAGAGCCAGACAACCAAGAACCTCGTCATTTTGTAGTAGTAGGTTGCGGAAGTGGACATACTTCTTTGCTGGTATCAAGGAGAGCGAACCGATTGGCGAAAATTGCTTCAGTAATTGAGCATCTGTAAGCAAACATCATCAACTATGACTGCCCAAGGGGCCCATGATTCCAGCCTACAATTAGTTGCTCATAGCTGGTGCTGACCAGACTTAATTTTGATTTGATTTATTCAATTACAAATGGTACATCGAATGCATTCAGAAAAACAACATTGCAAAAGCGGGCTTTGTAACGTTACTTTGTCAACAAATGGTATTTCTGGCAAAGGGTGTAGCATGTTCGCCCAACCAATTATATGGTTGACTGTTCGTTGTCTACTGGTACGGCATTCAGTATCTTCTCGTAAGAGCCTATCCCATATTATTGGGCTGTAGGGCAGCTGTGTTCAAACAGTCGACGACGCATTTGGAAGAAGTCGACATGATGCACTCGGGTTTGAGTCACTCTCATACATTGTAGCAGTACAGTTGTCGACCTAATTCTAAGACTAGAATTGATGTTTATATTTTTTTATGTTTTTTTAAAATTTTGATGCTTCTAGAGGAAAGTTTCTTTCTTTCACTGGAGGAATTTGGAGGAGCTAGAACGCAGAGAAACAGAAATCTGCTAGTTTCTGCATCTTTTTTGAAATTCATTTACAAGTGGTATCCAGCGAGATCGCGCTAAAAGGCAGAGGGCACGATGGCTGGGCTGGTGGTTGCTGGGCAAACATCATTCGGTGGGGAGGGGGGCGGAGTAGGATGTTTCCAAGCCGTTTGAAAGCCCTTCACACATGTGTTGACAGCAACTATCCGCCTCCTAGCCAGTACCCCCACTGGCTTTTTATGACTATCTTCTCTGCTTAGGCTCCAAAAACACCGGCTGAGATACTAGAATGGAACGGCGTTATATTTGAGCACGACTGGCAGAAAAAGAAATGAGGAGTGAGTGGGAGTGAGTCTCTCCGTTACGATCGCGTCCTTGCGAGCTGCTTGAACCTGGCGTGCAATCACTCTTAAAATAGGCAGGTGCGTTCTAGGAGGCCTATTTTATAAATGTAGGGGGGGGGGCGGGCACAGTCCTGCTGCAACATGTACCAGCGTGGGGCGGAAAATCCGGGAGGGAATACCGCGGCTCTGAGGTCCGTGCGATTTTTGCATTTGCCATAGTTGAGAGGTAGACTTAGGATTCATGCGATTTGGAACATGCAAGCTGAAAAATTGAATTACCATTTTTGGCGATGGAATGCTTTCAGAATCCGAGGTATCGTCTTGATTTGTTGACGTGCGCTTCCGACGCTTTGTACTTCCAATTCGGTCACGTTCGTTTTGAATAGCTGAAACAGAAGAAATCATCAAAAATCCATTTTCAGTTTCTAGTAGAAATGAATTTTCCTCAGTAAGTTCTACTACTCAGGAAAAGTTGCCAAGGTGTTTCCCTGTTGAAACTGACCTTCGGGTCGCATTCCAACGACTAGACATTTTTGAAAGCGGCAAAATCGACAGGCATTACGGTGGTCCTTGTCGATGCTGCAGTTCTTCTCAAACCGGCATGTGTACTGCAGATTTTGGAACACACTGAAAAATAAGTTGATTTAAGTACTTGTTTATTTGATTGCTTTGTTGTTATGTGAATTGGTTCACAAAAAAGCGTGCGGCCGTGTTGAGATTGTAAACTAGGGTTGGCATGAGAGTTCATGAATTTTGTTTTGAACTTTGCACCTTTTTTCGTGAAAAATGGTCACGCGCGGATTACGGTCATCACCAGTATGTGGCCGCAACGCAACCGTCGGCCCTTAGCCCCTATAGAACTTTCCTCATCCTATGCGCGAGCCTAGTGAATGTTTTAGCAAAAGTTATTGGCATTCTCTGTATTGAGTGATAATCGTTGCCAGGAAAGGTTTCCCAGTCCGAGGAACCGCTGCTACCGTATTCCGTGGACATGGTTTAGTTTTTCACCGCATGGATTCATTGCTTGCTGCCGACGGCACGCTTCGCAAACGATCCTAGCCCTAGGGAGGGTAGAGGATTCCTGCAAAGACCTGGATTACGGTAGCGATGGCCCGCAAACTGCGAAACCTCTTTTGAGTTATTATGGGGTGGACGCAGAATTTCAGGGTTTCGCTCCAATGAAGAAGCAAGGGACGTCCTGGGACTTAATCCTTCGCTCCTGCCAGTTCCCTTTAAGCGCTACTCTCTTACTGTTACTCGGGAGGAAAAGTCCGCAATTTTGCGTTGGCGCGTCAGTAGCCTGCGATTTTGTAGGAAGTAAAGAAGCAGTCCAGGGTGTCTGGGCTCCTACTCCATCCCACATTTTCACAGGAGAGAAGTGCTTCGCTCGCCCCGGCGTTCCCTCAACCCTTCAGACATGCAAGTTACCATGGCGTTAACGCAAATTTGCAGTCGAGCCCCGTTCTATCGACAATGGGTTCCAGCATTGTCTGGGTCTAGTGGACCCGACTTCACCTTAGTAAACCTTCTTAACAAGTAAGGCTCAGAGTTCCAGGGTCGCATTTTAGGGGTGTTACTAATTTTGTAAATATGGAACTAGATACCTTCTTCTGAAAAATCCTTTGCAACCATTACAGGCCACTGCTCCATAGTGTTTGCCAATGGCTTTGTCACCACAAACCACACAAAGATCTGACCCTGAGCACTGACTGGAAACGGTAGGTGTTGTGAATGGGTCCATTCTAAAAGGTGTAATATTAAGCATAAATTCGAAAT